AAGGGAAAGTGCCAGACCTGGTCGCATGCGACCTTAGTGTGTAAGAAAAACATGGCACCTGCAGTTAACTGCCCACGCCATCGGTGTCTCTTCAATAAATCTAGACGTTTCAGTGAGAAGTTAAATTGATTGGGAGTTTTCGGAGGAATGTTTTTAGTTATACAGTTCTTTAACCAATAGGTTAACATCAGGCAGAAATAGAAAATTCATTGCTCAGAGTCCTATTTGAAGCTTTACCACAAATTCAGATCATTTGAATTCCAATGTTCTGTTGAACTCTTCTGAAAACAGTGACTTTAATTACTTTGGGTTCCCCCCCCCCATACCAGGGAATCGGGGCATGAGCAAACAAGGGCATAGCCTAGCTGTAAGCCTGTTAGCTACTCGATTCTGGAAAATGCCTTTGGCACTGCCAAGACTAAGGGGGTTTAGTTCACTTAGATTTTCTCCCAGAAGCAAACAAACAAAAAGTGACTCTGAGAAAGGAATGATGATACTTCATTCACTGCCGTGTCCGCAGCAGCTTCTTCTGTGCCTAGCCACATGGTAAGTGCTTTAAAACGTTTGCTGATGACTTGTCGGCCATTTATGACGTGATCATACACGTTATGTTCCACTGGAGCGAAGCCCTGCACTCGGTGAGAGAGATGACAGGGAATGAGCAGGAGCCAGACAAAAAAAAAGAAAGAATCACAAAATAGCAGAACTGGAAATGAATTGATGGGCCCCCTGGAAGCACTCCCTGAAGGCCAGCCCCCCGAAACCGTCGGCATTACTGACTATCCCGCACCAGTGGGTTTCAGCGTTGGTAACTGGTTTGGAAGGCAAGTGCCGCCCCGCCCCAGGGCTGATCACAGCAGCTCGGCCGAGTAGTTTCCCTCAGCTCCCTGACACTTCTGGATTTTTTTTTTTTAAGATTTTTTTTATTTATTTATTTGAGAGCGAGAATGAGAGAGAGAGAGAGAGAGCATGAGAGGGGGAGGGTCAGAGGGAGAAGCAGACTCCCCGCCGAGCAGGGAGCCCGATGCGGGACTCGATCCCGGGACTCCAGGATCATGACCTGAGCCGAAGGCAGTCGCTTAACCAACTGAGCCACCCAGGCGCCCTTCTTCTGGATATTTAAAAACATATCCTTAGGGATTCATTATAGAATTACCAGTCTCCTAGTTGTTAACGGCGCGGACTTGTTTTTTAATAGCCATTAATTTACTTAGATATTCAATGATAAGGACTTAATTTGGGTTTAATGAGGCCTTGGTCAGCACAGAGACAAGTCCCTGGTCAAAAAATGTTGAAGGTGAAAACTTGAATCCAAAAGTTGGATAAGTGGAGTTACTGGATAAACATATTCCCCACAAATGCAGACTCTTTCCTTCCCTGCACTCTGAAGACAGCAGACCATGCATCACAGGCGGACGCGGGCTTACCAGGAAAGCTGGTTGTAGCAAAAGGAATTCAAATACTGGAATCAGCACTTTCCCTGGATTGGACTTGAATTTTTTATTAATATTATGCTTGGGCCCCAAGAAGATGCATTCAGCCGGGCTGACTTATGGCACTAAATGACTAGTTAACCATACATACTAATCACGTAAATATGGTTTATGGAATGATACAAAATGGCTTATGAAATCACTTTTAAACCATCTTTTCAACAGTAATTAGACCAGTTCTGAAATACCTTAAGCCAAGCAATATTGGCAAGAATTGGCTGAAGCACCTTTAATACTCTGCTGGTTATCATACAGGATTGCCACTGCAACAAAAGACAGGGTCGTATTTAATTTCTCGTCTTCCGCTGCATTTCTCTTTTTTCCTTTTCACATTAAAACGTACTTCATAACATTTCATCATGGGAGAAGGCTGCATAAATTTCCAGTTGCTGTAATTTAGTGAAACCATAAAATTGTTTCCAGATTACCGACCATGAAATGGAAAGACAATCTTATTTATGAATTTATAAATCAGATAATCTCCCTCAAATGAATCCTGAAACCAGAAATACTTTGATGATTAAATAGGAGGGGAAAAGATTTCTCATTACCATGTGTCAAAAGAATTGTATTTTTATCAAGTGGTTTTGGCCGAGGCAGTGGAACATACGTGTATGATCACGTGCCCCGGTCACGTGCCGGCCGTGCTGTTCCCTGGACAGTGGGGGAGAGTTGGCCCCCCTCGGCCGTCAGGCTCAAGTGTTCTGAACTCTCAAGGCTCTGACAAATCATGTCTCCTTCCTGGTGGCCCCACCAGTGACATAGCCCAAAGGAGGTCACACAGGGAGTGTTCACAACCGTCCTCAGAGAGAGAAAGGGAGAACCAAGTGTGTGTGTGTAGGACCGAGTATAGGGCTTCGCTCCAGAGCATTCGAACTCTTATCCCAGGCAGTTCTGTGATTATGTCAACATCATGTCTGATGAGGAAGGAAGAGTGGAGGGAGATTTGGGTGTCGTGTTTGTCTGCATCCTAAAACCACTGTCCGGGGAAGCCCAGTGAGAAGCCAAGTGCCCATTGAGCTGAGGACAAAGCCAAAGGCATGTATGAAGCCCTATGGACGCCCATATGGAGAGGACCCATGGTGATGAGTCAGTTTCGAGAGCAGTGTTCTGACCCTGGAATGATTCAGGTGGTTTGCTTGGTTTTTAATGCTGCTGCCCTCCTTTGTTAAACTGGGTCATGAAAGCTGTTGACCAGAGTGATCAGAAAGACCACTGACTGAGCCCTAATTAAGGTTGCACCTCGTGCCAGTGTTGGAATCCCTTCTGCCGTTTCCTCCTGTCGGATTCTCATTGGTTCTCTATAGTTGTAGATTTACCTAGTTCTCAACATTGCTGTCATCTGTGTCTGGTTAGGTTGTCACCGTGCCTTCCTATCCCACACTCCAGCTTCACAGACTCCTTTAAGCCATTTCCTAACCAAAGCTGCCTAGACTCTAAAAATGTCATGCCACTTAAAGAAGGAAGGGATGAAGGGAGGGAGGGAGGGATCCTTTGCATTTGCCTAGGATTGAATAAGAGCAGTGAACTAGTACCGTCTCAAGGGCCTCCAAATGCCCCTCCACTCAGGGTCATGAGCTCGACTCCTGCATTACCGGGGGAAGAACGGGGGCACTGGACAACTTCCTTCTGGTGCTCAGCAGATCTGCAGGGGTGTCATTCGTTTCCCAAGAGCCCATTTGTCTAAGTCTGTGTCTCCCACGTGGCAGGCAGCATGATCGACCACCACCATCTTTTCTTTTGCCCCTTGGGTCTCATAAACTTGGGATTTCCATTGGAAGTTTCCTAACCTGATTTCTTGATTAGAATTTCTTACTAAGTTCTCTGTTTGGCACATGCACTGTCTTACGGCAGAGAGGAGGCCAAAAGCACAGGTAAGACTCAAAACACTGTGCAGCTCAGAAGTTTAGCCTTTACTACTCTTCCTGGAAACAACTGGAAAGTCACTCCATGGAATTTCCACTCTATTTGCAATTTCTTCTCCCCCGACCAGTAGAACAGAGAGATCATACTATTTATTTAGCACATCAGTTGAATATTTTTTCCCTACTGTGTTCACAACCTGTAACTATTCAGACTGCATGACTTACAAACAAGAAACTCAGGATTGTGTCAGACCATCCATTTTAAACTAACGAAAATGAATGGAATTGTGAAGTCAGAAACTCATATGGCACTGAGGGTTATACTCGCAAGGCCAAAAGTTTGTGTACAGACAAAATTACCCTTGAGAAGTTTGAGACACAGATACGTCATCTCTCAAGTAAGTCCAACTTAACCAGTTTTTTTTTTTTTTTCTAGTGAAAGAACAGACTGCCATGATTTTTTCCATGGGGTACCAGATAAAGAGGTTGGCTTGTTTTTAAAAGCCACGATGTCTGGATATACTCTCTGTAGTACAGGAATCACCGTTGCTAACACTCCCAGGGGCCTGTGGGGTGGGGACCCGCGGTGAAGAGTGGGGTCACTTCTCTGTCTGGAGCCGACCCCTGCCGTGACACCTGCTGAGGGGATACACTGGCAGGCGAGGTCCCCCCCCCCCCGCCATTCAAACTGTTCTCCGCTCTCTCCCTTGTCTTGTTCTAAACTACCACATAAGTGTACTTGAATTCACATGCAGTGACATCTGTGCTGACCACTCACCCTCGGTCAGGAGAGTCACTATGTTGTGGTGGCGTTTTTATCACGTGATGAAAATAACGGGCATAGTTCTGCGGAACTGCCATTGTCCAGGGCACAGAAATGTGAGCCTATTTGAAAAGCCAAACTAATTGTGCTGTAGCCTCAGAGAGCCCTGAACAGAGAGGCGCAGTATCTAATTGGGGGGATTTTTTCCCTTGTGTCTTGAGATGGTCAAGTTGTCAGGGATATTTGTCTTCCTGCTGGATCCTGTGAAAGCCCCCAGGTTAAGGTTCCTACGACGTTCGATTGAGCATCTCCTTCCCCCAAGTCAGACAGTGATTCCAGTCCTGTTTTCCCTTCGGAGACACCCATTTGCATCGCTCTTGGGCTGTGAAACAGTTAGCACTCCACACTCGGCAAACATCTCCATCACTGACACCAAAACCAGGCGGCAGCCTCCCTGCCAACAAGGACAGCTTGGAAGTCTGGGCCACTGGGCCACAGCTGGCCTAGCCTAGGACACTGGTGCCAGAGAGAAAATTGCGAGAGCAGGGCAGAAAGTCACAGAAACACTCCAGGCAAACAGAGTCCTTTCCGAAAGAGGCACTTTTCAGTTTCTCAGGAGGCCTGTGCTCGCTCGTCTGTCTGGTGTTTTTTTTTCTTTTTTTTTTTTTTCAGGGAGATCATTGGGTTAATATTAAACTCTGATCATCGAATCTTGAACCCAGCAGAGTTTGTAGGCTCTTCACGTTCCGCGAGCCAGGATGGGGTGAACTTTGGCAGCCTACCGGGTGGTGCATTTTATAACCCTCAGGTGATCATTCACCTAGACAAACGAGTCTGAAAGTCAATATAGCTTTAACAAACCATTCTCTTGTTTTACAGAGAGAGGATGCAAGCCATGGAGAAACAGATTGCCAGTTTAACTGGCCTTGTTCAGTCGGCGCTTTTTAAAGGGCCCATTACAAGTAATAGCAAAGATGCGTCTAGGTAAAAAGAAGAAAGCAAACCAATGAAAAATAATTCAATCTGTTTCTCTTTAATCATGACGATAATCCATTCATTCAAATCCGTTCTTCTTGTAATCATTTCAAGGCTGACAATATCCCCATCTCTCTGAATCATGGTTTGTTTGTTTGTTTGTTTTTTCCTTCTGGTAATTCTTGGTCGAAGGTAACACTTTGGCCCAAGAAGGGTAAACGGGCTTCCCAGTGCATGTGGCTTCACGGACCACCGCGCCGTGCCTGTGAGCGCCATCCACCCGTCTCCGCGTCCGCCCCATCTGAGAGTCATGAGCGCTGCTCAGCTGCATTCCACCCGCAGTGGTGGAAAGCCTCTTCCATCCCGGCCAGTAGTGATGCTGATGCTTAAAATACCCTCATTGCTTGATCCATCACTAGCTGCTGCTAATTGCTTAGAATAGTGAATGGAAGGGGCAAAAAAAAAAAAAAAAAAAAAAGGCATTTTGGAAACTGTCTAGCTGACTCTCTTTTTCTTTTATTCAGCGAGAAAATGATGAAAACCACAGCCAATAAGAGCCACACAGATAGTGCAGGTAAGTGTTCTTCCGAGCCTCCGCGCGGGCTGCCTTTGACTCGCTTTGACTGGTTTCCGAGCGTTTAACCTCTCTCTAAGTCGCCTAATTGGTGTGATTGCAGAGGCTTTCTGGATAACCCCCCCACCCCCCACACACCACCACACCTTTCCTGCTTAATGCTGAAATTCCAGATTAGTCATTAATTAAATCAGAGGGGGCGGGGGTGTGGCCTAAACCCTTTGGTCCTCTCCATTCAGTCTTTAGTCATTCATTCACTCTTCTTTCATTTATTCACATATATGGCCCTGCATCCAACAAATATATATGTGCCTGGCACCGGGCAAGGACAGTGAGCACCATTCAGACAGGGCTGCCTGCCTGGAATTCCTGAGCCTGCGGGGAAAACAGATACAGAACAAGTAATTATATGTGGTAAGAAGGAGTGCAGGGTAAATGTTTAACCGACAGATCTAGCCTAGACCGAGACATTGCCGTGAGGAAGCGACAGGCTGAGGCCCGAAGGATGAATGGGACTACTTAGGTGAGTGAGGGAGGAGGGGACTACTTAGGTGAGTGAGGGAGGAGGGGACTACTTAGGTGAGTGAGGGAGGAGGAGGAAGAATCACAGCGGGGTGAGGGGGGGGAACAAGGAGGCGTGTGTAAATGCTGTGGGAAGGAATTTATTTTCTTTTATTTTTTTTTAAAGATTTTATTTATTTATTTGAGAGAGAGAGAATGAGAGACAGAGAGCATGAGAGGGAGGAGGGTCAGAGGGAGAAGCAGACTCCCTGCCGAGCAGGGAGCCCAATGCGGGACTCGATCCCGGGATCCAGGATCATGACCTGAGCCGAAGGCAGTCGCTTAACCAACTGAGCCACCCAGGCGCCCCATGTGGGAAGGAATTTAGATATTATTCCAAGTGCAAAGTGAAACCACTGGAAGGTTCTACAGTAAGGAAAGACCTCAGCCCACCTAAAGAATGGGAACGAACCAGAAGGGAGACAGTGGTCAAGGTGGGAAGAGAAGGTGTGCTTGGACCAGAGCCAGCTTTTTAAATGCCAGCATCCCCCGCCCCCCGCAGAAGAAGCCCCAATTATATTCCCAGTGGAGTTCACCAATATCCAGGTATATTTGATGTCCATCTTATGCGGCAGGCTCAAGGCAGGCCTCCTCTCAAGAATATGAGATCTTCCCTTGTGTTGGATTAGAAATAGAAATCATTACCAGGGACATGTTCAGCTACTGAATTACACAGGAAGCATGTGGCCAGTTGGGTGAAACCCCTAATTTGGGGAAGCCACAGCATGTTACACAGCACGGTGGAATGGACAGAGCTTGGGGCTGCTGCTGAGACCTCTGGTAGACCTAGTTCCGCCCTAGCTAAGGACAGTCGGTTCAGCAATGAAGCCAGCAGGGCTGGGCATCCAGCGTTTCCAATCCTCATGGGTTTTTTTGGTTTACTTAGAAATCAATCCGTGACCTTGGCTGCAGCCAGAGAATTATTTCGCGGAAATTGCTAAACTTGGCTTCAGACCAGTTGCCAGTTTGGGAGATGTTTGTTCATTCATTGATTTTCTCATCTATTATGAACGTAAGAGGGCAGGGGAAGGAATCTATTGAACTCATAGAAACAGAGAGTGGAAGGGTGGTCAGCCAGGGCTGAAGGTTGGGGGAAAAGGGTCAACTTCCAATTAGAAGATGAACACGTTCTGGGGGATCTAATATTAGCACAGCATTGTGATTATAGAGAACACTTCTCAACTCTATACTTGGAAGTTGCCAAGAAAGTAGATCTTAAATGTTTTCACCACAAGAAGGAAATGGCAATTATAGGACATATGATGGGTGTGTTAGCTAACACTACGGTAGTAATCATATTGTAATATATAAGTATATCATCAATCAACACATAGTACCTCTTAAAGTCACACAGTGCTCTGTGTCAATTACACGTAATGAAGCGATAACAAAGGGTGCCTACTGAAAGCTACAACTTTCCATGCCTCTGGATTCTATTCTAGGAATGCTAAGTACCCATACCATTGTTCTAATCAAAGATGCACACACTCTTTCACATTCTACTTTTCTTCCTTTTCACTTTGGGTGACGTCATCATCATAATCGAGGGAAACATTTCGTGAGTGTCTCCTATATGCCGGGCACTGTTCTGGGTGCTTTTCATGCCGGAACTCATTAGCTCCTGATGCATCTTCCCTGGATGGATACCGTTATTATTCCCATGTCCAGATGAGAAGACTAAGTGCATGTCCGCACATAGGACACACACCCGCATGGTCCATCCCCCCGACCTGTCACTTTACCTCAGTCTTTTGTGTTAAGGTGCCCCAGTCTCTTTAAAGATATGTAAGCTGTTTCATTTCTTTGTTGTGAAAAATTTTGTAATTGTCTCTTTTGGAGCAAGGGGAAAGGAGCAGGTGTGATGTCCTTGGGATGTAGTTCCCAAGGTGGAATCAATAAGTCCAGAGGGATGAACTTGAGTAGCATGGGCAACATGCTGCTGGTTTTCTCCTCCGCAAGGGCTGAGCAGGTTCGTGATGCCACCGGCAATGGCACGTGTGTCGTTCCCCACGTCCCTGCTGAGTTTGGTCTCTCTCGTTCTCATGTGTCACGGCTAGACGTGGTCCACGGGGCTTTCGGTGCCATAGCAGCCTTGTACAGTACGCAGAATGTATTAATTTTTCCAGAATCCTAGGAAGTAAGCTACCAGACTGATGGTATTAGCCCCTCCTGTAGACAAGTCCATGGAATTAGAGAGAAATCAAGGAGCTCTTTGGGCCAAGGGTAAATAAAAAAGGGAAAACCAGATTTCCTGTGACTTTAGGAATATTGGGTTTACGGTGGATATAAGAGGACAGAAGAAGCCTTCCATTTTGAAGATATACCATGTGTCTATATAGTAGATTATCATTTCGCACACATAATCCTGTAAGGAAAATGTGAGCCACACCACTAGTAGGAGTCACGGCTAGTCCCGCCAGTTTCCGAGCCTGTGTCCTTTCTATCATGACAGGATACATGAAATTCACATCAAATTTGCATTAATAAGATTTCATCTTACAATATACTTGACCTAAGGCAGATCTGGGAGGAGAGAGGGGGAAGGGCGACGTGCGTAGAAAGGAGTGAGGTTGTGCAGGCTCGTCTGGGCATGCTGGGAGCAGAATGCAAGCGCCTCCCGTGTGGGTGTGGAGAGCACATCCCAGCTCCCGTGCATCTCGTCTGAAGGGGAACTCGTTTCACGCTCAGGGTTCCCACCCACTGAATTCAGCTCCGTCCTTAGATTTCAGGGCCCCTGCCTCCAGACCTCAGCCCATTGCCGCCAGCCTCAGCTTTTCCACTTGCTGACACTCCCAGGTGAGGACAGGAGGCTGGCTGAGCCTCCCCCTGCCCATTCTGCTCAGGGAAATAATAATCACAGTTACCTGCATTGGCCAGGTTCTCCGTGTGCAACTGGGATGAGCAGTTCACAGGTGTTTGTTCCATTGGCCTACATAATAGCCCATTGACCCACTTTACAGATAAGGAAACTGAGAAAGAGGTCACGTTACCTACCCAAGGTCATACCACTAGGAAGTGGATCCTGAGAATAATTTCCAAGATTCTCATTTAAATAATTGAGTGGATAATAGTGCCCCTGGCTAAAATTAGGCCTCCAGAGACAGCAAGTGGGTTAGGGAAGAGCAAGAGAAATAATGACTTTGACCTGCTTATAGAGGAGCCCTGGATCAATGTCAAGGTCTTTGTATGTGCATCTGAAGAGACCTGGATGCTGGAGACAAAGATGTGGGAGACGTTTACAGTGGTTGTAGTAGAAGCGACCTCCCTGGAAAACATGTCCAGTGAGAGAACAAGCTTCCCAGGAAAACACACCAGGATTTAAAGGATTGGCTCAGGAAGAACTGACAAAAGACTGTGTCCAGGATGGAGCAGCAGATAGGTAAAGAGAGAGGAGATAAGAGAGTTTAAAATCAACTGAGAAAGAAGGGAGTGAGGGACAAAGCCCGGCCTCACACCAAGGAGATGATGTCACGTCGGCCCCGCATCTGTTGGGTTGACAACTGACAGATGGCCGTCTTAGAAAGAGCCAGCCAGTGAATGATGGAGTTAGCAACTAGATGTAGTAGATTAGATGGTGAAGAGATTTGACAAATGAGTGTAGATTCCATAAAGAAGTTTGGTGGCGAAAGATACTTTGTAAAACCAGTGATCAGCATTCAGCTGTAACAGATGGTATGTTAGACTCAGGCCTCTTGTTCACATGGAAGGTCCGCAAGGTGCCCTGTTGCTCTCACCGTGTGAAGGAGAAAAGGGGAGGGGCGCCTGGGTGGTTCAGTCGTTAAGCGTCTGCCTTAAGCTCAGGTTGTGATCCCAGGGTCCTGGGATCGAGCCCCGCATCCGGCTTCCTGCTCAGCAGGAAGCCTGCTTCTCCCTCTCCCACTCCCCCTGGCTTGTGTTCCCTCTCTCGCTGTGTCTCTGTCAAATAAATAAAATCTTAAAAAAAAAAAAAGAAGGGATATAGAAGAAATATGTGCCTTTCTTTGGCTGAAGAATAGCAGAACAGTTCTTAATACCAAATGGGAGGTAGCTAGTGAACCCTGTGTAATTTTCCTTGGAGAAATACCTCGATGGTCTCATTTGTGGTGCACCTGATGTCGTATGGTGTCGGTGCGTGTGTGTGTGCGAGCATGCATGTGTGTTGGCGTGCACGTCCGCGTGTGTCTCTGCCTGTGGGCGTGAAGCGATACTAAAGTGGCCTAACTGATTCTGAAAGGAAAACTTCCAATTCATTGTGACCGCCTTCGGAATCCTTGATCTCGAAGGTGCTTGTTAATTAGGCAGTTACTGGGAATGTTACTGGATGTTCTCTTACCGAAGACCTTCACAGTTGGAGAATATTCTTTGAGACCATTGCAGAGATGGCAAATCTTGCTCTTCTGGGGGTGATTTCGAATTCAGGGGAAACAGCCAAACGTTGGTCAGAGCCGTGCCCTGTGATGATAGGAGTGGCCAATTAGCTCATACAAATAACAAACAGCTCTTTGTCTGCCCTGCTGGGGTCCCTTTGGAAATCCTTAAAATGCTTTCGGTTCTGTTCTCCTGACTGCCCCATGGGGGCCGTGAGAGGGCTGGGAAGCTGGTTCTTGGAGGGTGAGGAACTTGGTGTACCATCGGCGCCCATCGACATTGCTGGGAGCCAGCAAGAGGACAGCTGTGAGCACTCCCTGGCTCACGGGCATGCCAGCTAGCCCCCGGCAGCAGGTCCACTGAGGCTGGCTGGGCTGTGTGCGCAGGGGAAGGATTTCCCTGGGTGCTGAGCCCAGATGGAAAGAGAGGCCACTGTGCGTCTCCACTTCAGAGTGTGCAAAGCAGCCACGGGGTTCAGTCCTGGAAGGCCTGCCCACCCTATTGCAAACCTTCCACTTTGTCCTTTACAGAAAAGAGAGCTAACCAGAAGAGGGTGTGTGCTTGTGTGTGTGTAATGTAAATTCAGAGTCTACTCTGGAGGCCTCTTCCAGAGAACTCCATTGTCGTATAAAGATAGCGGCACTTCCTTTTGATACCTGTACCTTGCCGATCCTGTAAGTGCTACTTGGGATCTTTTGGAGGCATTTTCTGAAGCATACTGGGTCAAATCAGGCCCTTCCCGGATGGACTTAGGAAATCCATGAGGCTTGCTTAAGTTGGACCCAAGGAGCACAAGTTTATGGCAGCTAGAAAACTATTTAAGAAGAGTTTCTTTCTGCTGCCTTTTTTGATTCCTCTCCTAGAGAGTTTTTGAACCATGCTTGATTTTCTCACTAAAGGAGATGTGAGCAGAAGTCCTGCTTCCTTTGGTCTGAAAACCCGAAGGGATTCATGAGAGTACCCCATTCTTATTACTTTCCCCTCGGTGACTGGGCTGAATCTGCCCAGAACTAAGTGCATGTTCTCCGGACACATTGCCTGCAGGAAGTTGTCATGGAAGCACCCTGTGTTAGGTCCCAGACTTAAAGAATTTATTTTTCTATTATAAAATTACAGATATTCGAAGTGCAGATTTAACAATGCAAAAAGTAGTAATATAAACATATAAAACTTGGGGTACTTGGGTGGCTTAATCAGTTGGGCAACCAACTCTTGATCTTAGCTCATATCTCGATCTCATGGTCATGAGTTCAAGCCCTGCAATGGGCTCCATGCCCAGTGTGGAGCCTACTTGAAGGAAAAAAAAAAAAAAAAAAAAATATATATATATATATATATATATATATATATATATATATATGACTCATGAAATACCACCAGCTAGAAAGAATGCTAACACTTTGTTATATATACATCTAATCTTTTCTCTGTGCAAACTTGGATAGATAGATAGATAGATTAGATAGATAGATGATAGATAGAAGTTAGCTTCCTTAATGTGGCATACTGCTCTGTGTTCTGCCTTCCACAACATGACATTTACAGACTGCATACTATAACCTTGCATGAATGTTCCATAATTTGAACCCAATTCTTTTTCTTTTCTTTTTTTTTTTTTGGCTATTTAGAGGACCAACATAATTAAAAATCTTTTTTCATACTGAAGGAGTTACCAGTAATCTGGATCGGGATGAGACTCAGAGCTTACACTTTCTGGGACACTTAGGTTCTTGGCTACTCTTTTCTCCTAGGAACGCTCCATGTTTCTGGAGGCAAGACTGTCGGCGCCCTGGAGTCCTCGGGGCCACCCAGCCAGCCCCTGCCTGCCAGCACCTCGGCTATACACATAAGCCTGCTCGACATGAGGCGGAGTGTGGCTGAACTCAGGCTCCAGCTCCAGCAGATGCGACAGCTCCAGGTACCCACCGAGTTCCGTGTGGACGATGTCCTTTGTCTTAGTTCCCCAGAGTCTGCTTTCTGCCCCCTGTTCACCTCCGCCAACATCCCTAGCCCCTCAGCACCTTCCTGGGGCTCTGTCTACCCTTTGTTCCTAAGGGAAAACTGAAGACCTAAAGAGGAGCCCCATAAAGGCATGGTTTCCTCTCTCACGTACATAAAATTGGTCTAGAGCCTTCCACCACAACTTGAGTCGATCTGTAACCACTTCTTGAAGCTAGGCATGCTTTTACAAATGAAAAAACCATTAAACATCTGTTTTTTTGGAGGAGAGCTGGAAAGGGAGGAGCCTGTGGAGCATTCCAGTAGCCAGTTAAGACTTCCTGCTTACAAGTGTTTTGGCTCCTTGTCCTCCTCAGTGAGTGTGCGTGAAGGTGTGACAGGCAGCTGTGCTGTTTTTGCAAGGAACTATGATGTATTTAGAAATAGGAGTTTAGACTAGAAGATGAATTCATAAGGAAAAGAAGCCATTGTGGAAGATTTTTTGAGAAACACATCTGCATTTTATCTGGAGAGTGTGTTGCATAATATTTTCCTTACTTTTTCCATTGTTGGGGATATATATGAACTGCATGGGAATCAAAAGGGAGGTTTTGAAAATGACCTTTTGTGTCACCAGTTTTGGTGAATCCGTCCCATCAGTCTGATGAAGCAGAAAAATGTATCACCTGGTTCTGGGTATAAGGAGCTGGGGCTATGCATTTCTTTATGAGATCGCTTTATGAGACCTTTATGAGATGCTTCCTGTGTCAGCCTCATGCCCCCTACCTTTGGGGCAGGTTGACCATCAAGGATGTAGTGCTGGCCTAGTCTATACCCGGGCGTCTTCCTGACTTTAGGAAGCTCATCATCTAAACAACATGGCGTCTTCAGCTCCCTTACGGGAACTGGTAAGGGAGGTGCAGCATGGAAAGGGCTTCCTGCCACAGTTTCTCTCTCCCTTCCGCTCACTCATGGCCTGAGCCCTACATTTTTCACCACCTAATGAAAGCTAAGATGGTGATTTCCTCTTGCCCTCTACGTACCAGAGAACAAACAGAAAGGCAGCAGCTTGAGGGCCCTGCCCTGGGGCCCAACCATGGATTGTGAGGGTCGTCAGAACACACCACACTGCTCAGGGCTCAGGTCCGCAAAGGCTACGTCTCCCAGGCCACATCCCAGCTACTTTAGACATCCCATGCAAAGCCATTTCAGTGCTCTTCTGAATCGCGTCATCTCTGACGTTCCCCATCCTTAGCCATTTGCTTCTCCCTGCTTTGCATTTTCAAAGATCCTCTGCAGTGAAGGGAAGCGTACAGATCGGGCTGAGGGTGTGTGCCAGGGTGACAAAGTCCAATGCCCACAGTGTCCAGGCAGCAACTTAACAAGTGAAGGAGGGACAATGGCAGGTTGGCCCTTCTCAAGGACAGTCACCGGTTGGCTCCAGCCAGTTCACAACCCGACAGCATTGGAGCTCAGGGTTTTTCTGGACATAGAGGTTTTATATGAAATTTTTGTATTCTTTCTAAAAAATGTTGGGAAGTAATTTAAAAACCAATGATTTAGTACCCTGCAGGTCAAATGACAAATGCGCTGGCCAGAATGGGTCTGCCCGGTCCCAGGTTCCTCCCTGGGATTTTTGGAGGGTAAGCCCCTTCTCACGCTGCTCCTGCCCATTAGTGCCACCTGCTGGCCATTTGGAAATCATCGCTCCTCACTGGACCCTCAGGAGAAAAAGAATTCCTGAATCTCCTTTGTGCTTTCCAAAGTGAGCAGGTGTTGGTATGGGGAGGGGGAGAGGTGGAATTGATTTAGCCTAAGTACCAGGCTTCCTTTGAAGTGTGGCACATTCGATACGGAGGCTGATGTGTGTGGCCGTAGCAGCACCCTGGCATTTGGTTTTCTGGCCGGCGAGGGGGTCGGGGAGGTTCCCCACAACCCACCACCCTGGGCAAACCTTGAACTGTGGTGGCTCGGTTTCAGAATCCTCGCTCCTCAAGCAGTGCGGGTTCTTCGGTCAAGGTCTGAGAATGCTATCTTAACCACACAGGTTTCCTTTATTGCCCCAGGATTGCTCAGCCTCTCGCACTCTGGGGGTATAAAGAACAAAGCCAATGTGCTCTTGAGCTTTGAAGTTCATGCGGTTCTAAAAGAGCAGAGGCATAGGGAAAGCTTAAACACTTCGTTTCGCAACTGGTGGTGGTTGTTTCTACCTTGGTCTTTGTATTTTCTGTGTCCCCATCAGCTTTCACATCTGGCAGGCCTCTGTCTTTTCAGTCAGGGGAGTCTATCTATTTAAAACAAAAACAGTGTAGAATAATTAAGCCATCTCAGCACCAGTTCTCCTTCGGCATATGTGTTATACACTGAAAAAGAAGTGCAACTCCAAAGTGATTATAAGTCCAATAATGGAACTATCATTAGAGATATACGAAACTTCGTGGAAGAGTCTCCAAAGAACAAAAACTGAATTAGAAATTCAAATGTTCTTTGAACTGTGTTATAAAATAGTGAAACTGAATGAAATCTTTTGTGCTTGGCAGCCAGCTCCAGTAATTAGATAATTAAATCACTGGAAAATCCTAGACTGTAGAGCATATCCTATTTGAACATTTTATTTTCAGAATTGATGGATTATTCTCAGGAATAGAAATTTGATGAGGACACAGTGGGATGGGTAGTTTATAGGGCAAAAAGAATGTCAAGGGAGGCAAAAGGAGCCTAAGCAGAAGATGAAGACCACTAAAACTCTCTTCATGTAATTCCCTGCTCTCCAATTTCACATGAATTATTGGTCTAAGAGAATGGTACTCAATCTTGGCTACCTATTAGAATCACCTGAGGCCTTTAACAAAAATATTGGTACCTGAGCACCACTGCTAGAGTTTAACTTCACTGTTGTGAACCAGAGGCTAGGCACTGGTGATTCTAGAATGTTCTGGGATAACAACTGTTGCTCGTGGTGGGTATTATGAATGCTCAGTCCTTTGAGATGCCTCTTAGAAATATTGAGATCTCAGCTATCACAAGGGTGAAGCAGAAACAGATGGGGTACCCACCACCCTGTAAGCATGAAAGACACACCTGATGACATCAAAACCCTGACTTCAAATGATGGACCCCATTCTCAGTGGCTAAGAGAATGTGTTCTCTCTCTCCTTAGTTATAATAGATACAAGAGCTATATAGAACTTCCATATGGTCATGTTCCCATTCTAAGGTAAAAGTTGGGTCAGCACTTAGCTGGCAACAATGGACAAGGGACAGGTGAAGGTCTTGTACCTAATAATTGTTTCTTTCAAAAGATGATTATCTTTATCCATTACCTTTTCTTGTGTGATTTAGAAAAAGCTTACTTTTCCTAAATGATGAGCTACATCTTTTTTTCCCAAAATGCCACAGTACTTGGATTTTCCCAAAGTAATCCCATATCCACCAAAGTGATTGCAGTTCTGTCCCTCATGTGGGCTGAGGGGAGAGATAAGCTTCTAGAAGATGTGATAGAAGTTCTGTGAGGGCCAGATGAGACTTGGCCTAAAGAGAGAATGGATATATCCTACTTCTCTAATTCCCACAGTTTTTTTTTTTCCCTTGGTTCCTATTTCCTTATTCTGCCTCCTGATAAGTAAAAAAAAAAGGGGGGGGTTATTCTGGATTTAGCGTTCTATTTTTAAGACTACTGAGAATTTACTATGCTTTCCTAGGAGAGGAAGGAGGTAAAATATCAACATAAAAAAGAAACATAACAGTACACGGAGACCTCGTATTTGAAATGATATGATTCAATACAGTTATCCTAAGGTGTCTTTTTAAATAAGATAGTGCCTCATAAAAATGTGCCAGAGTCTCATTTATCTTCTGACATCCAAAAAAGATGATCATGGGACTGTGTATCCCTGAGAAAAGCACGCTAGGGTTTGGCCTGTGCTGAGCAGATCTATTTTTGCCTACTGGGCAGAAATAATTAATGGGACTAATTCAGTGCCATACAATTCACCAAGCCCTAGATAGACCTTCACACAGAGGCTGTCTAAGATGGGGAGTCATCTCTCAGATAACATGTGGTTGTGACCAAGTATCTTATACATTGTTCCCTGCAGCCCAGGAAACTTAACTAATTCTGGGGTCTGGCTATCATCATGAAACTTCTGGGGTCTGGCTATCATCATGAAACTTCCTGATTTATGGTACAACTACTGTTCAGTGTCACTGCTGGACAGAAGATCAGTCCCACTATATGACACTGTTATAGTCTTAGGTTTTACCTAAGATATCAGGATTTAGTATGTGAGGTACATGTCCATTTTGAGGTGGGTGGAATTAGTTTTAGGTAGTTTCCTAGTCTCTGGACGTTGATAGGGATAAGTTATTTAATTAAATATTTATATGGTCAAGAACATTGTTCCTGAGTATTTTTATAAAAATGTCAAGGCATAGCATTCATAATAAATTAATGTTTCCTGAATGAGAGGATAACTGTAACTGTACTTAGCTTCCCACTGTTGACAACTAGAAAACTGAAAAATAAATATATATATTAAATAACTATTTCCAGGCATTGGATAACAGACAACACAGGATTGTAATCCTTGGGAGAATAGAAGCAAAGAAAGTGAAACCTACACTTGACTCAGCCTTCTGCCTGGGGGCACTTTCAGATCATGATGTAGAAAGGAATGACCAGGCAGAGCACTGACAGCCTAATTGAGAAGACAAGATCAAACTTTAGAGAGCTGAAACAGCTAGAATTTGTGGAATAGAATACCAAATAAGAGGAAGCTCTGCAGAGAAAAGACTATATAAATCTGTGGTCTGTCATTGGATAATAAGCGTGTGTAGTGAGAAAGACCACCGAGCCAGGCAAAAACAGAGCGGGAGGCTCTAAGCTAAAAAATCCCCAGAGCTCACACAGGGCTGGAAGATGTTCATACTTTGACAAGCAAGAGTCAATAGGCTTCACTGGTCACCTGGGGCATTTAATAG